AGTATGAATAGCTCAAAGTCAAGAAGACTTACCTTGAAACTGAAATCTGTGTTTTGAGTTTGAGTTGTTGTATTGTCTTGGAGAAAGCAAGTTGGAGGTGGCTGTTTTTTGAGTTTGGAAAATAGTGATGTTTAGGGGAAAACTTGCAAGGTTGTACAGTGGGTAGAGGTTTTTTCTATTTTCAGTTTTTGTTTTGTGAATGAAAATAGAGTTGAAGATGAGTAGAGTTTACAAAGAATTCTGTTAATTTTCCAAATCCTCTTTTTTCTCTGTCTCCCCCTTTTCTCTCTAAGAAACTCTCATTTGTGTGTTGTGAAACAACTTATTTGTAGATGAAATTGACTGAAATTTGGGAGGGAAATAGATAAGTTTTTGAACTGTTTGGGTACACTGTTTCATTGTTTTTTAGATGCAGCTCTTATGTGCTAAGTTTGTGCAAATATGAGACTGATATGATGCAGATTTTGTAGGGAAGCATTGCAGGTTTTGGAACAGGTTTTGACAATTTTCTTGGCATTACTATGTAGGTTTTGGACAGCAGGTTTGTAGCATGATGCAAGTCTGATTTTGTGGACAGATTTATGCAGCCTGTAACAAAGACAAGGCATATTTATGGACAACATAGTGGCAAAGTTTGAAGATTGAGTCAAAGGGAAAAGTTCAAACAAGACAAAGCTTATGATTTGTAACTTGCAATTTTTTAACTTAAAAAAATGCAGCCTTGTTGTTTTCTTGAAAGCTTGTAACAACTTGAATTATTCTGAATTATGGTGAAAAGATGTCATGAAATTAACATGTATAAAAAAAACACAGAAAAATTTCTAAGTCTTACAAAGTTTGACTTTTCAAAATGACTTTTGACTTTCTTGATTTCTTGATGATCAAATTTCGTATTTTTGAATATCTTGGTGACATGTGATCTTTGAAACTAAAATTTGATCAAAAAGTCAAAGTTTGACTTTTCAGTGTACAATTGACTTTTTTTCATCAGTTGACCAAATTTCATCTATCAATCCACTGATATCGGGAAACGAATTGAAATATTCGATTAGGTCAAAATGATGTAATTGAATCCTTGAGATTATGTTTTAAACCAATAAGTCATGTACTAGATCAAAAAGTCAAAGATTGGTCATTCTCAATCAAAATCCTAATTTTGTCCATTTTGCCATTTTGAAGATTTGAACAATTTTCTTAGAGAATTATGATCCAATCTTGATCAAATGATACACATGACCTCAAAATGTTGATATTGGTCCAAAGTCTTGAAGTTTGACTGTAGGTTGACCACAATTAAATTTTTAACCAATACAGTTGATTTTAGACCACCTGATCAATTGACTGAGCAATTTTGTGATTCAAGACTTGAAACTTGACAGGAGCAATCTTGAGGGTCCATAATGATCCATGAAATTCATTTAAAATATTAGAAGTCCAACTGTCTTTGTGCAAATTCAAACCCTAATTTGAAGTATCAGTGTTAAAGAGATGACTTGACCTAGTCAATACTTGTGCAAGCTTGAATCGTTGAAGATCTTTGTGAGAAGTATCTTGAGAAAATGGAGGGCAAATTTAGGGGTACAATAGGCTGCTTCCCTCACCTCATAGTCCATATAGGCCCTAGCCTTCTCGAGGAGTGCATCGAATGTCCATAGTTGTTGATGCCAACAGCTTTTCTGAACTCTGTGCCCGGGAGGAGTCCCCTCTCGAGCAGGTATCTCTTCATATGATCGGTGCAGGGGACCCGGATGGCCTCGCTGTTGAATCGATCAATGAACTCCCTGAGGGTCTCGTCATTTCTTTGGACGATGGCCTTGAGGGCTGCCTCAGTCTTCGGATGTCAACGTGAGGCAGTGAATGAACTGATGAACTGGTTTTTTAAATTCCTCTAGGAGGTAATTGACCCCGGGGCGAGGCTCTTATACTCGTCTATTGCAAATTTCCTCAAAGTCATGGGAAACAACCGACATTTGATCGGTCCCCTGACGTTATGATAATGCAACATCGCCTCGAACCCGTTGATATGGTCGATTGGATCTGCAATGTCGTTGTACTCCTTAAGATGGGGAGGTTTCTCCATACTCGGGAGAATGAGTGCCTCCATAATAGCTCTTGATAAGGGACCGCGGGGGTCGTCTTTGTCGCTTTTGTCCGGAGATCGAGAAGGGGACCTATTGTGATGGAAGTCCTGATGACGACCCTGGTCGCACAGAGGATTCCTCGGGCGGCGTGATCGTTCGTCGTTTCTCCTGTTCCTGTTTCCAGAGGGTCTTTGCTCTTGACGTGGGGGGACGTGATCACATATCCCCGTATCTACAGACTGATCCCTCTCCAATGTGGGGTGTCTCCCGATTGATCGAGGAGAAGGGCTGCTAGAAGCATCCCGTCTGCGTTTCCACGGGGGAGATTAGGGACGGTCCTCTGTCTGAGGAGGAGGAGAATCAGGCCTCCTATGTCTTCTGGGGACTCTCCGAGAATCTTCGAGCGCCCTTAATCTCTCCCCTTGCGAAAAGATCAAGTAGTTTGTTTGATTTTTTGCCGCGAACAGCGCCCTGGTCGTGGCATTAGCATCCATAGCAACGGGGACCTCCTGGAACGCGGGCGGCTGATAGTTCTGGAGAGGACGACGCTCGTCTTCGAGTCGTCGGGACAGTGATGACGAAGAGGCAGTCAACCCGTCTCTGTATTCTGAGGGGTCGGGCATGCCCCCAACATGGCCGTTGTTGTTGCCTGTGTTATTATCGTTACCGGTGTTGAGGCCAGTTGGAGCAGGGTTGTTGATGTCAGTGTTGCGGTCGGTGACGTTGTTGTTGACGTCAGCGAGATGGACATTCAGGTTATTTTCTGTCGTGTGATCAACCATGATAGTCAGAAAGGAGTGTGATTAGCTTTTGTATTGGATGAATGAAGACGGGGAAGCAGTGATTCCCACAGACGATGCCACTGATCGTATCTGACCAGAATAGACCATCACAGCTTACGTCGAGCAGAACTTGAGAGTGAGGTGGGGGGTACCTGCAAGATACTCCGATGTCAAAGTGAGATTCAAAATGAGCTAGCAAGTAAGAATGAGAAATTGTTCAATACCTGACCCTCTCAAAAGAGAGGGTATTTATAGCTCCCAGCGCTGGGCCAAGGTCCCCATTGTTGGGTCACATTGAGGCCCAATAACGAAAACTGCCAAGGCTTACGTATGTATGGAGTCCAGCAACTAGACTCTCTCCTGGTCAACTACTCCGTGAAAATAGGGTTTAGACCCGTGATTTCCAGAGGACAATTAAGATGACTATGACAAGGGGACGTGAGCCACGTTTCCCAACGGATATGTGGGAAGTTGCCCAACGACCCCTAATTTAGACTGTCTATTTTTGGGCCTTATAAATACAAGAGTGTTGGTTTGAGCCTTCCAATCGAGAGACAGGTGCAGACCCAGTCCATATATATATATATATATATATATATATATATATATATATATATATATATATATATATATATATATATATATATATATATATATATATATATATATATATATATATATATATATATATATATATATATATATATATATATATATATATATATATATATATATATATATATATATATATATATATATAATGTAAAAAAATAAATTTTTTTGCTTTATTATTTCCTTATTTTTGTAGGAAATTCAACTTTGATTTTTTTTTTTTAAAATGTCTTAATGTCAAAGCGTTTTTTTCCATACGCTTTTACTCATTTTTCTTTCTAATCATACATTTTAGACTTGTTTATATATATATATATATATATATATATATATATATATATATATATATATAATCATTAAATGTATGGTAAATAAATTTGGTTATTTTGAAAACAAAATTATTTAAATTCAAATGCATGTGAATAAAGTGTAAAATATAATTGATTTTAAATTTTTATCAAATTAAATTTTTATTAATATTATTTTAATATACAGAAAAAAATGTACCATTGATTCAAATCTTTTTATAAATAATGTCAAAATATGAAGAAAAAAAATTATGATTAACTCAAATATTTTTATAAATAATATTATTTTATATATGAGACAAAGTAAACTAATTTATATATTTTTATAAATGATGTAAAAAAAGAAAAAAAATTGTTTTATTGTTTTCTTATTATTATTTTTGTAGAAATTTCAACTTTGATTTTTCAAAAAAAAAAACATTTTTAATGTCACAATTTTTTTATCAATTACGCTTTTATTCTCTTTTAATTTTTCTTTCCAATCATATATTTTATTTTTGACATAATTACTAAATATCATGCGACTTTGCTTTCAAAATTCCTTTATAATTAATTTGGATAAAGATATTTTTATACTTCAAATATTAATTTTGTTCTTATTATTGTATTTTTATAAACAAATATGTGTGTTTGATTATAACTCGTACCTTTGTACGGATTTATTATTAATTTATGATAATAATTTATGATAACGTGCATACCGAGGTCTCAACAAATAAAACATATAATAATTCTCATCTTAACTACTCCAAGAAACCACGCATCGGCATCAACAACTTCAAGTAGAATTAGCAAAATATATTTGGGAACACTTTATAGCCCTCCACATAATAAATTTAAAATGAAGTTTTTTATATCATTTTATTTTGTTTTTATGACTTTAAATGATATATTGTCATGTATTTCTCGTTAATTTTTAATATGTAACAATAATTTTAATTGATTTTTAATAAATTGCACACATATTAGTTACAAATATTTTAAGTAGAAAACTAAAATTTGTCAAAAACAAACTCCTTTTAATAAAAAAGAAAAAGCCTAACTAACTCTTAAATTTAAATAACAATATAATATTAGTGTAATTCAGTTATCTAACTGCCTAGAAATACTGTTATAGTTAGTTACTAGTGAAGTTTATGTATAATACTATTAGACTCACCGCTACATTTTAGTCTATTATCTTGTTAGAATTTGGATTTTAGAGGCATTAAAAGTCAATGGATCCAACTCAACCATCTTCCCCATCGCCACCGCGACTACCACCACCATCTTCCTCGCAACCATCATCACCATCCTCATTGCAGCCGCCACCGCCATCTTCCCCGCAACCACTATCACCATCTTCATCCCAGCCACCACCACCACAATCTTTATTCCGGCAAAGGAATTCTTCATCGAAGCTACCACTGCCATCCCAGCGTGATGCACCATCATCTTCATTGCAGCCACCACCACCGCATTCTTCAGTGCCAAAAATGCAAACATCATTGCAGCAAATTCCGCCGCCGCCACCTCCACCACCACCTTTTTGGCGGTCCCCGGGCGTAATCTTTGGTGCTGTTTATATTGGTTGGATGGTAAGAGAGTTCACGTTCTTTCTTCTTTCTTTCTTTCTAATATATTTATTTATTTATTTATTTATTTATTTATCATGTGCGTGACTAATGTATAAATAAACATAAGGATTTATTTATTATTATTGTTGTTTCAGGTGTATTCTTGTATCCGTGACGTACTCTTTTTCATAGAAAAATCTTGATTTGGAATTTCAAGATTAAGATGTGTGATTGAAGCTGCTAGACTGTTAACTCAAATTAGTTACATTTCAATTGGGAGATGTATGTGATAATATGAATCATATGATAGGATTGAAATACCCTTTTAATTTTCTTTTTACGTTACTTCTTAGCATTGAAGACTGAGCGTGACAGTCACACTATATTGTATCACACCTGTTCATAAATAAATGGTTGATATATTTTGTTGTTAAATTAGGTGATTGATATAGTACTGCTTCCGGTTTCACCATGAATTCACTCTCACATTAAAAAATGCAAACCGATTATGTGTAGCGTATGTGCCATTAATACAATAGATATAAAGATGCTTAAGTTATAAATTGGAAAATGTTGAACTATAGTTCCTTCTACTAATATAGATTGTGAATAGGCAACTTAAACTTTAAGGGCAAAAATTAGTATATATGGATGTTTAATTGTCATAGTTCTTAACTGGGTTTGTTGATCAGTCAAGCATATGTTTTGTTTTGTCTAGTTTATGAGTAGTTAGTCAGTTGTGACCAACCTATTCCTGATAAATTATTCTCATGATTTTTCTTTAATAAAAAAATAGTATATTGATAAATGTTAAAATATGCATGTATGTATATAATTTATTTTAATTTTATATTAATTTTGGAGTTCATTTTGAATAATTAACTTTAAAATATTCATATGGTTCATTAACTTTTCAAAACGTATTATGTTAGTCTTTTTATAAAAACTACGAATTTATTTGTTAAATTTGTCGCAAATTAAATTATAAGGATTATCATATTAATTTTTTTCTTAAATTAAGAGATGAAAATGAATTTCGAATTAACATACGACACTAAAAGAGATATTAAAGTTAATATATGAAATCAAAAGAGATATATTAAATTATCTCTAATTAATTAATGGAATAGTTGATTTAAAAATTCTTATTAATTATATTAACTTTATAAATGTTTATTTTATTTAAAATTTCAATTGAACGTATATTAAATTTTGGAATGAATTACATTCATCTTTTCTCGTGTACAAAGTATGACAAACTTTTTCTTGTTAGAAAATACACATTATCCTCCCTTGACAAATGATGTACATGGAAGACAAATTTTAGACGGAGTATCAGTGATGAATGAGATCATTGATATAGGGAGAAGAGGGAGTGTCTACTAATAGTAGACTTTGAAAAGGTATATGATGATTTGAATTGAAATATTTTAAGATACATGTTAAGAAGAATATGTTATGGTGACAGAGATACATGTGAAGAAGAACATGTTTTGGTGACAGATAGTTGAGGTGAATAGATACATGTATACTTTTTGCAGTGTTGGTCAATGACAACCCAACCAAAAACTTAAAAAGCAAAACTCACATACGTTTGAAGTGAGACTTTAGCGATTTAAAGAAAGTCTTCACAACTCTTACTCACAAAAATATTGTTCAAGAAATTTATTTAGGAAAGACTCATGTTTCGGTCATCTAACTATGGAATTAATCATCGAAATTTGATATCTATGAGTAAATTTTTAAATGTTACTAAATCGATCATAAAATCAAAATTAGTAATCGATTTAACGATTGAAATTTTGTGACCGAAAATTCAGTCTCCAAAAACATTTTTAATATAAAATTTAATTTATAAAAAAAATCAACAACCGAAATTTTGGTAACTAAGAATTTTTTATTTTTCTCTATTTTCTATTCCTCTTTATTAGGTTTTTATAATTCTCTCTTAAATTATTTTTAAATAATTTTTAATATATAAGTAGAAGTGAATTTTTTTATGTAATTCTTTTATGTGCATAATAAATAATTTAGTAAAATTACAATTTATTTTTATTATATTATTAAATTAAATAATAATTAGTAGCTTTTTAAATATATTTGAAATTTTTTGAGATATAAGGTTGTAAATGTCATAGTGCAAAAGTGTTATAGTTAAATATGTATCTTGAAAGTCCCAGGTTCGATTCTTGGGTCAAGCTGCCTTAATTTAGTTTTACTGAAAAATAAATCTAATACCATTTAAAATAAGATGTCAATTGGTGTAATGATTAAGTAAAGTGGTAATTTAGTAGAAGGGTGCAGGTTCAATTCCAATTTATTTTTAATTCGTTTTTAAAGAAACTAATTTATGTTACTCTTTGAAAACAAATATATAAATAATATCACAAGTGGAAGTGGTGAAATAGTGAAGAAAATAGCTAAGGAGCGAGGTTTGATTCCTGGTTAAGTTGTTTTTAATTTTGTTTCATAGGAAAAATAAAATCAAAATACTATTTAAAATTGGTCGCTAAATTTTTTGTTATTAAATTCATCGCTAAAGGTTAGTCACCAGTATTTTTTCAACCGAAAATTATAGTCGTTAAATCGGTCACAAAATTTTATAGTAATCAATTTTTAATTTTTTTCGGTCTCTAATTTGGTCACTAAAAGTGAATTTTCTAGTAGTGATTATGGTTCAATGGTCTGCCCAGCGAAAGTTTCGATTATTGGGCGGACTTCTATGAAAGGTTTTTTGCGTATTTCACAACCCTGAAGCAACGACGTGTTACTTAAGTTGTCCTGAACGGGTTCATCCAAGGAAAGAAAGAGAGCTTGCGGTCTTACATCGACTGATTCATACAGGTCTTAGTCGAGGTGGAGGGGACCCAAGTAGGTCTTCAGTGTTGGATCATTGAGAATGACCTTCTGAGAGACCATCCCTTCAGACATAAGTCAGCGAAGAAGAATAAGGTATAATCCGTCCAAGAAATGTTAACCATAACTGAATCTTACATGCTCTTGTAGGAGAAGCTGACCATGCATTTTGAGAACCCCGCCTCTAGCGAGTCTCACTCCGGTCGCCAGGTTGGAAAGGAGTCCCACCGGCGTCGAGATGACTCCGACTGAGGTATGCTGGGAAATACGATAGGTACACCCCCTTGAGGGTCTTCTTAGAGAAATTTATCAAGGCTGTGCAAATGTTGAGTTTCGAAAAGAGAGAATTTGACCTCCTTACCCCGTCAGAGAGACACCTCAGACGAATAAATCAAAGTTCTGCCTCTTCCACCAGAGCCACAATGCAACACCAACGATTGTGTTAATCTAAATGATGCCATTAAAGGGCTAACTAAGAGTGGCTGGATAATTGGGTATGTTAAGGGGAAAGCAGGATAGAGACACTACTACAAATAACGCTTCTAATGTCGGACGCGAAAAGCGTTGTACCTCTGCAACATAAGCGAGGTAACTAAGGTCATCATAAAAAGTCTTCATTTAACACATCGGTGTTTCCAAACCCAACATGAATAGTTATTTCAAAACCATTTAGTACATGAGTTCGAACCCCGAGTGCCGCACTTTTATAATATTTCAAACTAGCGTATCTTTTATCTCGGTTTCTCCAAAAACCGAGGGGTATATAAGATTTTTTTTAAATTGTTAAATTTACATTCTTTATTCAGAATATTACTTTGTTTACACAGAACATTGTTTACCCAGAAAATTATATTGTTTACCCAGAAAATAAAGATAAAAGTCTAACTATATAAGGTGGTTCAAGATAAAAATCAAATTCCCTAGGATATCTTGTTTCCCCTCAAGATGTAGATTTTGATCTTCGTATAATAGAATCTTGGGAAACATCTTCGGTTAGATCTTACATGCAATGGTTTCTGATGAAAAAAAAGGTAAGGTAATTAATATTTGAGAAAACAATAATCTAAAAATCAAATAATGAAAAAATATTTAAGAAAACAAACCTTGAAGCCAAATGATTTCCCGCGCTTGCAATCCATCATAGAGAACTTTTCCAAGCGTTCTTAGGTTTCAAGCGCTTCATATGTTTCATTTTGAGCGTTGTTAACCTTTAAATGGACGACATAGATTTGTTTAAGACCGTTGAAACAGTAAAAAAAAACACTTAACTATCATCTCGGTTTTGAAATATTGTATTGCCTAACTAAACTAAAACAATATCGTCTTTAAAGACAAACTCATCCAAAGGTGTTTCTATGTCTTCTACTTCTGTAAAATCATGATCTGGACCATTATGTGGGTGTGATGGTCATATAGTTTCGTACCAATGCAAGAAGGGACAAAATCAAGAAAGACTTTTTTGGAGATGTCCATTTTGGAGGAGTGAAGAGACGTGTAATTTGTTCGTATGGGATGAAGAGATGGTGGCAAAAGGTGGAAATAAAGACGGAAGCATGATGAAGTCAGAGGTGGAAGTTATGGGTTATTTGAAGGTTATGTATGAAGATTCAAAGAAGAAGAAAAGGACACTAAAGAACAAATTGAAATCAGAAATTTTTTATGGATATTTGAAAATGTTATGTTTTATTATCTCCTTTATGTTTAATGTTTACTTTGTTATGAAATGTAATAGATGAAGTAGGGTTTGAATTACATTATTAACGTTATGTGAAAACTGTAGAAGCAAACAAATCTATGTATTAAATATCCTCTCGGTTTTGGAATAAAAGCGACCCCTCGGCTTTTCAGATAAACTGAGGGGTTAAATGAAATTTTTTTAATGGATACATTGTTTACTCAGAATATTAAAAATACAGAATGTCCAGATCCCATACAAGATGCTAGTGATCCAAGATTGGTTGTTGTGCTATCATTACCATTGCGTCCTAGATGGATCATTGTGTTATCATTATTACTGCCTTCACTAGCGTAGACAATGAGTTTGAATGCTTCCAACTTCTAATAAGGTGTCTATTGTAAAAATTAGAAAATATTTTTTCTGCACTTGCAATCCATCTGTAATGAAGAATATATCATAGTTGTTCAAAAATTTAAACAACAACAACATCAACATCATTGTTTGAGATAGATCGCAAAAGCTGAAAAATGTTTTGCTCAAGGTAGAATAACATTTTTTCAGTTTTGTAATCCATCCCAAACAAATGGTGGGGCGGCTACTGAAACAACCGACTGAATAAATCATCAAGATGAAATCAGTGAAGTCGCCATCGAACATTTTTTATCCCAC